TCTGACAAATGAATAAACTCACATGTTGTAGGGAGACGCGAAAGACTGCTTCATGGTATCCGTGTCGAATCAATCTCGGTGTGCCGCATTGAAGCCGGGCCCTTCGCATGGAGTTGGTAATCAGAGCGCACGACCTGGTCACCCACAAAGGCAAGTTGTCATGTGATTCTGGGGAGTCGTCAGCATCGTCGTGCAACTCCAAGATCACATCGATGTACTGCAGGTACGAGGTGATGTGTGCGAGCGAGGCAATGGGGAAGGGAACACTCATGATGATGATCGAAACGGCTGCGGCATGTATTCAAAGGAGAACAAGAAACACATGACAAAGGGCGGCAGCAAGCTGTTTTGCCGTCAACGTCTCCAAGTCGGTGTGGTACCAGGAGGTAGTTCAATGGCCGGTTGCCAGGTCGTTCGGCGGGCTTCAAGTAGACTGCCACAAGCGGGTTCTTCTCGGAGGATTTCAGCGTCCTTGACGGTGGCAATCGCAGTGGTGCTCCTCATGTAGGAGAGGTGTCGGTCGCCCTGGAGTAACTGAAAGTGCGATGGGTGCAAGTAACGACCATGGCGTTGATGAAGCAATTGCGAGAGTCGTTGTTTCACATGATCAATGAGCATGTCGCTCCACACATGAAAGTCAAACCACTCTGCATGTCCACCGTCATCGGGTAGATCACAGCAAAGGAACCAGGCTGGAATCAGAACACGCAGACGTATTAGGTTAGGTGGGGTAGGTAGTCCTGCGACAGCGGCTGATCGTTTCATAGAGCTCGGCGTGAAGAAGGACGCGGCCGTATTGTAAACCAATGGGAGAAACGGCTGCGGGATCCATAAATCAGAGAAAAGAATTGCACATGAAAAGAATGGGGCATCGAGCATAGGATCTTTTCCGTGCGGGCAGTCAAAAAGAGTGTATGAGGACCAGGATGCGGAGCACGGCGTCATGGATCCACATCGTTGGCGGAGGCTGCGGTGAAGAACACGCGGCGGTGGTAATGAAGACATTGTCCCAACAACAGGTAGGAGCGGGCGCGTAGACACCGTAGCTGTGTTTGCAACAACTCAAGAGCCTCCCAGGTGTGAATTTCATGAGGGATCATCAATGTCAGAACCGCATCTGAAAACCGGACCACGTCAGCGTAGGTGGTGCCGATGGGTAGGATGCGTGGAGGCAGGAACGGTCCGCGCATACGGGGAGTAGGTTCACCTGGTAGTAGTTGAGCGGGTCGAGGTTGATGAACGTCCCGAGTAATGAAGTGGGTAATGTTGCGCCCGTGCAAGAAGTGAATGACTTCATAGTTCATATTGCGGTTGACCCGGAGGAGCTGCGTGGTGAGATACAAGTCGAGTATAATCTCGAACAACCCATGGTAAGAATTATCCGCGATCTGGACGACCTCATAGTACATGTTACAGGCCTCCGTCATCACCTCGTGCATAATCTGGTGAATGTGCGGTCGCGGTGAGGTCGAGGAGAACGGAACCAACCAGCCTCGCATCACAATGAAAGGAGAAAGCCAAAAATTGACCGGGACGTCGGTGAAGATGGGAATCGTACGGTTCTCTCCAGAGGATAATGAGACATAGGTGGTCGAGGAGGTCGGTGTAGTGCGATCTCTGCGAGATTCTCGAGCAGCTGCGACCCATTCGCGGTATTCAGAGGTAGTAGGAAGGTCCACCAGTGCCTCCGGTGCCAAGTTCGCCATGGTGTGACGAGCAAGTGGATGAAGGGTAAGCCAATTAGCTGAAACGGCTGCGGGTAGAGGACACGGAAAAAACTCAGAGGGAAGAAGTCAGTGATGAAAAGGACAAGTGAGGAGTCTTTATATCCCACGATCATCCGCTCCAGGAGGTGTCCTGAAGATGTCTGCTCTGCAAGGCGGTGCCGAAGGCATGGAGTCGTAATCGGAATAGACGACTGCGGGGGACCTCCGTGCAATCGAACTCAGTCAAATAGGAGGGAATGCCCAGGCGGTATGTCAAAGAGGAGAACCGCACAATGCTGGAGAACTCTGAGCCAAGTGGAAGACGCCGGCGAAGAAGATCAGGAGGTTCAGAACGATCCGCGGGTAGGAGGGCAACAGTGGTCATGGAGCGAGCGAGAAGGTAGATGGCGAGTGCATCATTCAGATGGCGGTTGGTGGCCGAAAGTGCCGAAATGACGCCAATGTCGAAGGTAAGAACAAATAGGCCATGATAATAGTTGTCCCCAACGCGGAAGAACCCGTAGAAGAGGTTAGTGTGACGGTCAATGAGCTCTGCAAGACGGTCACGGATCATGATGTCATCGGGATGTCGTGTGGTCTGCCGAATAGAATTGCCTGGACTGCCATCAATAGGAGGGTGGGTCGCGGCCACGGCGTACGCGAACAAGTTCTGGTGGTAGTCCAGGAGCTGATGCAAAAATCCGCAAGGAAGTGTGGAAAGCTGGAGCGGCATGGTATTAATATCAAAACCCTTAAGGAAACGGCTGCGGAAAGTGTAAACATATGACTCAACGTCCAGGCAGGCAAGCAACGCTGCAGACTGTTTCCGTTCGACTGCGGCCACCCCCACGATGGTAGCAGTTGATGCGAAGTGCCATCTGAAGGACAGTGAGGACGATCACGTTCATGTGCTGGGAGCAGTAGCAGGAACCGCGGCTGGCTGGAAGGCGGAGAGGACCGCCGTCATCGCTAAGAGCTTTTGTTGGTTGACTTCAGACAACTTGGAAGCCAAACTGACGGTCAGTCCCCAATCTACAAGGGTTTTGTCCAAGGGTGGTAAGACGCCCGCGGTGGCCTCTTTCAAGATGCCCTGCAACTCGGTGAGCTTCGGTGTGTAGGATTCGCGATGGAGCTTGATGAGACCGTCGAGCCATTTCTTCACATCGGCGGTAGAGGCGGATTTGGGGGAGTTGGACGCGAGGACAGCACGGCGATCGAGTCGTTCGAACTTGGAAAAAGAGTCCCGGAGTCTGGTGGCGGCATCTGGTGGAGGGTTCGGTTCTGCAAGTGGATGAGGTAGGGTCTCGGCGCCCGTGCCAGCGGCAAGCATCCTGAGCTGGTCGTTGTCCTGCTGCAATCGTTGAATTTGTTCCAGAAGTCCAGGTCGTCCTCCAGCTGCACCTTCTCCGTGGGGTAGTAGATCATTAATCGTCGCAGCAACCTTGTCCGCCACGTGTTGCAAGAGCTGAGCGCGATACGCCCATACGGTAAGGTCGCGTGGGCCTTCGGTAGCGACTGTGTGATTGTCATGTAGTTGTTTAAGGACATCAGAGATGTCGTATTGGTCCGAGGACTTGCGGAGCGTCCGAATAATGAATGACGCCAAAAGCGCTTCCTGCCGCGTCCTGAAAATTTCAATCACCAGAGGGCGGCCAGCCGCCAGCAGGCGGACGATCCATGCTTGTCCCGCATTCGGGGTAAGCGACACAATAGGGACGAGATGAATAGGCATTTCGGCGATGCCGAGACGCCGGGTAAAGGCAGTGTCTACGACATTGCGCGGTAAAGGGAAACCGCGGTCTGGGTTCGCATCAAGGAAGAGGTCGGTGGTTTCCCAGTTGGCGCCGAGCGAATAGATGTCTTCGTAGCGTTCTTGAAGTAGGCGATGATCCCGAGCGGAAGGAGGATCGCGACGATCACGGCGAGGTTCACGTCGAGCTGGAGGTGCACCGGAGGAAGAATAGTGGGATGGATCGTCATGAGGTGGAGGAGTGGAGTGCACCCGGCTGTCAGAGTGTGGTGCCCGTCGGTCAGAGGCGGAAGGAAGAGGATGTCGTCGAGACGATGGCCGTGGTGAAGAATAGTGTAGTCGGCGTCGTGGGGGAGAATCAGCGTCAGGATCTCGATGTCGATGTTGTCTGATCGAAGGGCCACGGTTGCGGTGGCGGTGATGTTCCGGCGTGTTGGACACCGGAGTGCGGCTGCGATGTCGTCGGGACCGAGGAGGAGACGTCCGGCTGTATGCGCGATTGTCCCGGAAGGACCCCGACCTGGGAGGTTGCGTCGTCATGTTCCGCTGGGACGAATAGGGATCATGTCGAGAAGGTTCATCACGTCCATGTAGACGATGGTGTCGGGAAGGTGGAGTGCGAGAACGGTGTGGAGGCATCAGGAGGAGGAAGAATGGGAGGAGGCGTGAGGAAGCAGGCGAAAGGAGCCAAAATAAAAACGGCTGCGGGAAATGAGCTCGTTTAGGAACTGCTGCAGTAGCAAATAGTCCTCTTTGTCCAGGTCCTGAGCGCGCATCATGAGAAACGTCCGAGCCGGATCAGAGGTAACTCCTGGTAGCTGGAGGGAATGAAGACCCAATGCTGAAGTCCACGGTGTAACGCCATGCCACGGACTTGTTGTGGACAAAACGGATGGAAAATGGACAGGCGCGGTCGAGAAGAATGTGACCGTGGAAGATCGGGGGTGCGTTCCACGTAGAAGGCATATTGAAGTCCACGATCACGAAGAAGGGCTCGTACTGCGTAATATGTTCGCGAGCAGGTCACCATCAAAGAAGCAACGGCACGGGGATGAAATGTAATCTCGGCGAGGGCATAGTGAAGGTGATAGTCGCGTTCCGTCCGGAACGCAAGGGCCTGGCCATGTAGTTCAGCAATAGGAAAGAGGCACCTTAAAGTGGAGTCCGGAGCAGGTGTACGGGCAGAGGCAGTGTCCATGATCGAGTCCGGAGGGACGAGAGCTGTACGTAGACGAAGTTCCAAGAATGGTAAGAACACCCGGAAGAGAATGAAAGGATCAGTTAATACGTCCAAGTACTCCAGAACAGTTGCCGAAGTGGATGACGACAATGTCGAGCAGGAAGAGGAGGCAGAGGATGAAAAGGGAGCAGAGCGTCGGAAAGACATGTGTGGTGTCAGGGAAGCGCAAGACTGTGGAATGATGTAGGAAATGGCTGCGGAACAACCAAGAAACAAGGAGGCGCAGAGTCTGCGGGGGGCGCATGTTTTGTTCAGGCCCGAGCGACGGAGTAGAGAGTCAAGGGTGGTCGCTGCTGGTCGCCGCTCACATCCCGTCGGTGTCGATCGCGGTCTCGATCGCGATGGGGAACATCACGCGCACCTCGAGAGCGGTCAGGATCCTCACGATCGTCACGGTCTCGGTCAGCACGATCGCGGCGACGACGCCGACTGCGGGATCGGCCAGTTGTCGCCGTTGTGGTCCGCGGAGGTGGAACTTGTGGTCGGGCTTTGACAGGCACGTAAATGACAGTACCGTCAGCATCGACCTTAGGTGCAAGAGGGCGTCCAGAGTGCTTGGAGACGGCGGGGGGTGGAGCTGTGTGGCCGATCGGGTTGGCATCAGAATATCCCGAGGTAGATGGCATCGGAGGAGAAGAAGGGCCGGCAGGTAGTGGGTCAGCAGGAGGTGACGATACTGAGCGACGTCGCCGGCGATGACGATCCCGATCGCGGTCTGCAGGGCGAGAACGGTCTTCATCTCGGGGATAGTCGCGGTCCCGTCTGCGAAGTCGTGGTAGGGTCTGGCGCTGGGAGGGATCCAAATGAGAAGGATCCAAATGAGAAGGAATCGGTGGTGGTCCCATGGGGGTCGCAGGCACCACAGCTGCTCTACCACTGCTGTCTGGAAGTACTGGAGGTCCAGAAGAGGAATAAGGGCCTGGGTCACTGGAGGTGAGCAGCGCCGTGGCAGGTGGGGGAGCATCCGGAGGTGGTGGAGTAGTTGTCGTAGCCACCGGTGTCATAGGAGTCAACGTCGATCGATTCTGATGGGCTCGTAGTAATACATCACGTACTTGGAGCAGTTGGTGGTCGGACAACGACTCGAAAAACACCAAGAACAACTGCAAATATTCAGGAGTGAAGGCGGAGGAGGCCATGATGTGCTAGCAAGGTCACACTTAGTTCAGCAAAACGGCTGAATAAGGCGGCAACAACAAAGAGACCAGCCATGCCATAACGCAAATCACGCACACCTTTTGTGGGTCCTCTCACATGAACACGGCGATGCCTTCTGGTTGTGCGAGCGTGGAGTGCACACCCCAACGGTTGTCGTTGCCGTGCAGGATGGAGACGAAGTAGTTCGCCGCGTTTTCGGGGACGGTGCCTCCGCTGTCGCTCTTCAGGTGATAGGCCGCGGGAGTGTTGGGAAGCACTGAAGACGGTGTGTCGGTAGGCGCGGCATTGGCTATGTCGAGATAGCAAATAGGGATTCGGCCATATACACAAATCGGACGGGGAGAACCCCATCCCCCAAACTTGGCTGCAGCCCGTAAGGCTCCGCTGAGACTGTGGACGGAAGCGCGAAAGTAAAAAGCAGGACTCGGCAGCCAAGAAGTGTCAACGGGGTCATAGTTGCTGGGGCGAATGCATCCTTCTTTCAGGATGCCAAAGGCGGCCTGAAGGTCCGTGTTATGGCCAAAATAGGCGACTGCAGGTGCCCCGCTAACCCGTACAGCTGCTGCGGGGAAGGGGAGCGACACCATGAGCATGGGTCGGCCAGCTTTGTCTGGTTGATGTTGGGGAGCCTCGACATGTGTGAACTTGAACTGAACACTGTGAGGATGGTATCCCGCATGTACCAGCAGATGCATCACTGTAAGAATCGGATCGGCTAAAGTAAAAGGCACGTCAAATTTGCGTCCCTCCAAGAGCAACTCCTGTTGACATTGTCGACGATGAGGGAGCGCTTTGAAGTAGGACCTGTATTGCAGCAATGCAGTATATACTCGATCCCAGTGTACCGCCTTGAGGGAGCCCAGTCGGGTAGAGTAATCGGATTGCAGGTAGGCATCAAGCTGGTCTGCCGCGGCCAAACACTGGCGTAAGGTGGCCAGCGTGCAAGCAGAGCTGAAAGGAGCTGGTGAAGTCGAAGATGCTGTAGGTGGCGAAGTCGAAGATGCCGTAGGGGTAGAAGACGGGTCCGGCGGCGAGGTAGAGGCATAAGCAGCAGGCACGGACTGGTCGTTGTTGGAGGAAGACGGCGGTGAGCCAGCGGGAGGTAAACCAGGCCAAAACGGGCTCGGAGGAAGAGGAGAAAGATCAGGGAGAGTGCTTGGAGCTGCCATATCAATAGGTCGTGGAGGCTGTAACGGGGCAGCGATTCGGCCAGTCAACGTGGAACGTTGAGGTGCGGCAGTCCGGGTCGTAGGTGCCGCCGGCGTTGACGAGGAAGAAGAAGTAGAGGACGATGAAGACGCAGACCTCGGGCGTCGCCGAGATCGTGATCGAGAGGGTGCGGTCGGCCAGAGTCCAGGTGCACAGGATGGACGGGGACGAGGAGGCATGGCGAATGCAGACAAGCAATGCACAGCCTACAACAACAACTACTACAGGGAAAAGTCGCTAGAACGTTACGGTCAAAACGCATCCTGCCTGAGTCCTTGGGTATGAGTGCTTGAAGCCGCTTGAGCTGCAATCGCGTGTTGGTAGGCATGGAGCCGAATTTGTGGGTGCCATGAGAGGCGGGTAGGCCATGTGGCTTCACTGTTCTCTCCATTGAACTGGTCTGAGCGCTGACACTGAATTTGGCGCCTCCGAACTTGGAGGATCTGAGTGCAGCACCGAGGCGTACACCACCGTCCCGGAGGACTACACACTGAATGCTAAGGAAGGTTTCGGTATGCGACGGACCACCTGATGTCCAGGTCTCAAGTGACCACACATCAGAGACTTCGGACAGGCAGCTTCATGGACAGCAACTGCAAAGAGGAAGTGCAGAAAGTCTGTGGCTGACACCTCAACCTGCCTAACTAAACCACAACGCCAGCCTGAACCCCAACGCACCGGAGGACACGGCAAGGACTGAAGAGGTGGACACTGGCACTGAACAATGCTTGCAAGTGTACGTACTAAACGGGGTTCTCGGCTTAGCCCCAGGCCATCCAGAAACCAGCGCATACCAGACGACATGAACTCAAGCACTGACTGTTTCTGAAGTGATACCATAGCTGCAGGAGAACGACTGGTCGGGGTTCTCGGCTTAGCCCCATGCCATATCCAGAGAAGCGCAACCAGAATAATAATAGCCAAGTGAAACCAATGTACAGCAAAGATGATATACGATGTCACAAACGGCAGGTACACACGGTTGATCAGACCGTGCTTCACCAGGGTATCCAGAGTGTCTTCGTTGGTGGCAGACTCTGGACCCTGCTGCCACCCCCTGCTGTGTAATCTGCACTCAAGTTCAGTTATATGTACATCGTAAATAGGAAATGGCTGCAGAGCGTGAGGAGAAGGCCCTTGGATACAGGGTTGTCACACACACACAAGTGAAAACACTGTTTTCCTTTTTCGACAAACTTTGTCTACACTTTCGGCGGAAAATAAAACCCATTCACGCACGCATGATGGATGCTTATTTTCCAACGAAAATTCCGTTAGCGCGCGTTTGGGAAACCCTAACTGCGCTGCAGAGGAACCCTGTGCAAAGCACTCTCTCTTTTTCTCCTAGCGGACATGGGGGGTCAGTTCGGGCCCGATCTTCGGGCACTGAAGAAACGATGCCACTGGCATCTTGACGGAAAAATTCGACCGCTGGTCGGTGGTAAGGCGAACGACTGGTTCACCCCCCTTGAAGGCACTCGAAGCCTTACTCACCCCCCATTCAGTCCGCGCCGAGTGACAAAGCCAACGGCACTGCGTTGGGCGGCAGGTATTGGCGCGCTGCGCCAAGCCTCTGAGTCTCTTCCCACCAGTCTCTGCTGGGGCCATCAGCGATGTTGCTGTCTGTCGGGACTCGGCGGACTCGGAAGAAAGCAGCCCTGCATTGCAGGGACTCTTCAAAATCCACCGCTTGCGAAACTATCGCTGCGCCTTCGACTTTCCGTGTGAAGGCCTTGTGCAGGGAGGTACGCGCTGCGTCGTTGTCTATCCAGACGAACAGGTCGCTGCCTGCTATGTGCTTCGCCCACAGCTGAAGGCTAAGCAAATAGGGCAACAGCTCGCACTCATACACCAACTGCTGTTTCTGTGCCCTGGCAACCCACTGGGCTGCCACCTGGCTGCTAATCTGCAAGTCCCAGGTGAAGGCGATGCCTTCTCCAATGAGCACTGCTCCGAGGCCACACTTGGGCACCAGTCGCGGGGTCTCCCACTCGCAGGCCCGTCGATATACAGGTGCACCTTCCTGCGCGCATGGATGGACACTGTTCTGGGCGGTCCGTACACGACTCGTTGCAATAGAAATGCCATGGCAGAGCACTGCTGCTCGGTGAGGAGGACTTGCTCTGGTCCATCTCCAAGGACGTCGCCGACGCAGATCACTGCCATGCGGGTGTTGCGGCCCCAGGCCTGCTGCTCCGCGAAGATGAGCCGGCCGCGCAGACTCTGCGCTTCCAAGGGTGACATGCTCCCGCGCGTGAGGGCCTCGCTGAGGACCATACCCAGCTCTGCTGCCCAGGTCGGCTTGTTGCTGACGGAGATCTCTCCGAGGTGCTGCTTGGACAAGTCGACTCGCACGCCCAGCACGTCGAAGACTTCGCTGAAGTCGGCGTTCTTCTTGGGCTCTGTGGCTACTTGCCAGCCTAGCTTGTTAAAGAGGTTGGTCACTGCCAAGGTGACGAGCTTCGCGTGCGCGCTGCGCGTCAGAACCGTGAAATCATCGAAGAAGTGGCCGGTTGCGCCCTGGACTCTCGGAAGGGTTTTGGCTGGGTTGAAAATTGGTGGGGGCCGAAAACGATACGTTGAACGAAAAAGCAAAGCCAAACCTCCAGAACTCATGTTGCGTACGACTTGCAAAAGGAACTGCTCAAGAAATTTTGAATCACCATGGACAGCGCAGACTTCATGTAAAAAAAGAGGCAAAAACCAGAGTGTCCTGAGATGGTTATGCTGTTCAGCTTGAAAACATGGCAAGGGCGCTTTTGTCCTGTTAAAAAAATTACTGCGCAAAGGTTGTGCTACGTTTTCCATCATGCAATAGACTCTCGTTCGAAAACGTGACAGACATGCCCAATCGCTGCTCTGTCGGATGTGCTGCAAAGGACGCTCGCAAAACCGTGCACGAGAGTTTATCTTAAAAAACTGGCCCCCGTACATTATGGACCCCAGAGGTCTCTGGTCTTCCCGGGCCATTTTTGCTTGACATGCCAAGTAACTGTAAGAAGGGAATGGATGCTTGTACAAACTCGCACCTGTTTAACTGTTTAGACATAACGAAGATTTGACAAATCAGAATCAACACCGGTGCTGAGTTCTCGGTTACGATAACGGAGACAAAGTTTCAACGCGATGAGTTGCTGCCATTCCGCGACCAAAAATTGGTCGAGGTTTCCGGCTTCACCTAATGCAACAGCAAAATGTGTTGCAAGAAAGCATACGAGCTGAGACGGGGACTTAGACCCTACAATGTGTCACACCAAGAGATTCTCGAACGAGACTTGTAAGCAGACACTGCAAATTTGAACCTGTCAGAGGCAACATGACAAAAGCAACACAATGACTTCCCAATCTTGCAACATACTCCAATGAATCATCAGAGCAATTCGTCCTGCTGGTCGTACTGATTCTCAACCAGCACAAGCTATGAGATACAGAGAACCATGCATTCACTGGGCATCTTGGCCTTCCCGTTTCAGGCCAAAGCAATTCTAGCTTTGCACACCTGCCTTGCGCCAGCTTATTCAGAACTTTAGTACGCCGATCTGCCCTAGCCTACACTCCGCTTCATTTGTGTCATGTTATAAAAAATAACTTCCTGCTGCTAGGGCATCACAAAGCGTCCTCCACTACTCCTAGATTTAGACCCCGTCCAATGCCTCCCACACTTCCCAGCCTCTCTCTTCCAGGCTCTGCCAATCCCTCCCAGCCCCCAGCACCTCCCAGTGTCTCCCACCACAATCCAGGCCGGCAGGCCCTGACCTTAGTGAAAATTGGGGCTGCGTTTCCTGGCGGGGAGTCCCGCCAGACTGAGTTGCACAACAGAGCGTTTCATGGCGCGGTTGGCCTTTTTCGCTGGATTCCGTTCAATTTCACTTTTTGTGCGGGTTTGTGTGGTTTTTGCTCCTTTCTGCTGCATTTTTGCATTTTCAACACATTCTTGTACGTTTTAAAGGTTGTTTTGGGTGGGATTCCGGTGGGTTCCGGTGGGTTCCGGTGGGTTCCGGTGGGTTCCGGTGGGTTCCGGTGGGCTCCGGTGGGCTCCGATTCTCACCTGAAACTCTGCCAAATTTGCACCTTTTCCGGTGGGAATCCACTCCCTGAACCAAGCCCGGGTAACCAATTCTCACCTGAAAATCACCAAATGTTGCTGGTTTTCCGGTGGGAATGCTTCTCGAAGCTATTATGCGTTGGCAAAATGATACTTCAGAGCAAAACCAAGCATGGATTCCGGTGGTTGAGTTCCAAGGCGCTTTGGGGCTGGCCGAGGCCCACCTGAATGGCCTGCTTAGAAGGTCAATTTCCCACCAAACACCTGCAAAAGTTCAATTTGCTTGAGTTTGCTTCAAAAATGGCCAAAATTTGTTTAAATGGCAGAATTCAGTTAGAACTTGTTGGAATTGCAATTTTCTGGCTGCCAACGCCAAACGGATCAGACAGGAGCACCTCTCCATAAAATCTGTTGGCTTACCGATCTTTGTGTTCCGTTTCACTGGAGCCAGGGCACCGTTGCTGAGTGCTCAGTTTTGAGGGCAGAAACTAAACACACTGAAAAGAACAAGGCTCAGGCTCGCTTCAAATTGCTGTTAGCGTGCAGCTGCAAAGGGAACAGAAACCACGGTTTGAGACTCACAACTGCTGACATTGATTCGGTGCGAACTTTTGCAACCGCCAGCATAACAACGCTTGTTTATGCTACCACGTGGAAAGTGACGGCAGAATTGTGCTGCGAGCCAAATTTACATGCACTGAACTTGCTTCCATTTTCTCTTGCAGTCGGCAGTCTATCATGTTTATAACCTAATTATCTCATTTCAAACTTCAAAAAACTTCAAGACGCAAGATTCAAGACTTCAGGACTCAAGACTTCCAAAAATTCAAGACTTCAGCCTCACGAGTTCTGGAATTGGGGGTTCACGATCAAAATCAAGACTTCATGATTCATATTCATTCCATGAGTCTTTGAATTCATGCGACGTTTTGATTTGTTTCAACAGAACTGAAACACATTGGGCGTCAGTCAGAAGCTGGAACCGAAAGACCAGGCAGACCAAGAGGGAGTCACAAGGAGTTGGAGGGAGTGACTCGCACCACCGTGCAGTTTCGTCGTTCGTAAATGATAGACTCTGATTTTGATTATCTGTTTATTTGATTGACATTTGACAATGTAAGTAATAAATAACAT